TAGGAACCTTAAAATTCCCTGAGTCCGAACCAGGCACACTACCGTAGGATACCCACTAGTGCCTATCAAGACCAACTAGAGATGCATAAAAAATTAACAAAAAATTGCTATCCGTAGTGAGTAAAGTAAACACACATAGTGAGTGATAAGATAAAACCTGACTTAGCATGCCGTCGTCAGGGGCAACTTGGTTCCTAACTTTTTAAGGCTCCTAGATGCCAAGCAACTTTGTCAAGCCCTATTCTAAATTGGCAGAGATTTGAACGGTAAGGCTGTATCGATAGAAGGCGAAAAGCATGGGGGTTAAAGGGACACTATAGTTGTTTTGGTGTGAGTATAGTCAGTCCATGCAGGCTTTTTGCAGTAAACACTGACTTTATAGAGAAAAGGCAGTGTTTACATTGCTCCGTAGGGACACCTTCAGTGGCCACTCCTCAGATGGCCACTGGGGGTGCTTCCTGGGGCAGTGCTGCAAAGTGTGCAGCATGATGTTCAGCAACTCCACGCTCTGGATGGAGACGCTGAACTTTCCCCATAGAGATACAGTGATTCAATGTATCTCTAGGCAGATCCTGATTGGCTCTTGCAGGGTCTAGCAAGCTATTAACATAGCAGGGGATAAGAAAATCTTAATTAAACAGACCTTGCAATAAAGAAAGCCTAAATAGGGCTCTCTTTACAGGAAGTGTTTATGGATGGCTGTGCAAGTCACATGCAGGGAGGTGTGACTAGGGTTCATAAACAAAGAGATTTGACTCCTAAATGGCAGAGGATTGAGCAGTGAGATTGCAGGGGCATGTTCTATACACCAAAACCGCTTCATTAAGCTAAAGTTGTTCAGGTAATGATAGTGTCCCTTTAATGAAACAGTTTTGGTGTATAGATCATGTCCCTGCAGTCTCACTGCTCAGTTCTATGCCATTTCGGAGTTAAATCACCTTTGTCTCCTGTTCACACAGCCCTAGTCACACTTCCCCTAGTTGTGACCTACACAGCCTGTATGAAAAAATATTTACTTTTCAATCAGATCTTAACTTATTTTAGATGTGTTTATTTCCTGATCTGTAAATTGACATTTAGTCACACACAAGGGTGCTGCAGGCTCTATTAGGCTATTAAAAGAGCTGGAGACAATACATTCTAAATTAAACAGACTATGTAATGAAGGAAGTTTAAACATTAGTTCAAACCTTTACAGGAGGTGTTTAGGAAGGTTGTGTAAGTCACATACAAGGAGGTGTGAATAGGGATGTATAAGCTCCTTAATAACAGAAGGTTCAGAGGGTTCTTAACATCTGGGTTATTCCCAAAATATGGGTCCCCATGCTTTTCCATTGGGTCTTTGGTGCCACACAGTCCTACCTGACATCAGAAAAGTTTAATTAAGGTGTTTTGCACTTGCTGAGTAGATCCGTGATTTAATTTTATAATTTGGGAGTGTGTCATTTACTAAAGTCAGACTTAACATAGTGATCTCCTAGAGGGAGAAGATTGGTGCCTGAATGGCCAACACAAAAATGACATGTACACATAGACACAGGTACACATACTGCTACTCAAACGGTACACACACATACTGCTACACACAAACTGATATACATACTGCTCCCCACACTGTTGCCCACACACATACTACTACCCACACACTACTAGACATGCTACTAACCACATATTTACACACTACTGAACACACACTGCTACACACACTACTACACATGTTGTTATCCACACTAATTCAAATACACTGCAAAAACACACTACTACACATGTTGCTACCTACTATTACAAACACACTGCTGCACACACAGACATTTACACACACTACTACACATGCATACACACTGTACACACACACAAACACACGCACATTGGAGATGTGTGTACATACAACAATGATCATATTTATATGTTCAAGGTTTTTTTTCTTAGTTTGAAAGAGTATCTGGGGGTATCTGAGAATTCTGTGCATATAGGCACTAATGATGTGAATCCTGCCCTATTCACAGCTTGGACTGCACTCCATCTCCTCCCCTACACAATGTTGTCTTCAATCGTATCAGATCTCTTAATCACTTTTAGCTAAATGTTAGCCAGAAACCAACAATTAAGCAAACTACAATGACTTACAGTAATATCTCAGCAGAAAATTGTCTCTTTTCACTAAACAAAAAAAAAAAAAAAAAGATATATATTCAAATTTCAGAGTTTCATAAAATAAAGTTCTGCTTGGAGATACATTACCCCACTTTGACCAATACAGCACCAACACTCCCATAGATAGCAAAGATATATCACATTTTTTCTGGGGGACATATCAAGTGTTTGGAATTGTTCTATCCCTCTTGTGATACTAAATAACAGCCCACATTGTTAGCTTAGTAAAAATGAAAGTTGGACAATCTGTCAGCCAGGATTATGGACAATATCTGCTCATCTACATTTATGTGACTAATGGAGCGAATATCCTGACATTCCAGCATATCACATGGCTGTTCCACGATCAATATGATGCAGGCCATTCTGTCATGTCCTGTTACATTCTGCTGATTATTTCTGTCTTGGCTTCTGGTATCCAGAACTCTTTTCACAATTCTTGTTTAGTTTTTCTTGTTTTTTCCTGGTTCTCTGCTCCATGTCTGGTTTTCTTTATGCTGGGTTTTCTGGGTTCATTCCTTTATTCCGTTTCTGGAATTCCCAGTCTCTTGGATTCCTTTAAATGTTAGTGTTTTGTTGCCATACCCATTCCTTTGCCATTTATCCTTTTTGTTTCAGTGTGTTCCTGCTAGCAGTGGTCTTATTCCTCTGCTCCTTTCCTTTCAGGTAAGTACTATGTGTGTTTTATTATTGTACTTTTAGTCATCCATAACTAGGCAGTTAGGACCCACCGAGTTGCCAACTGTCCCATTTTTGTTGGCAATTCACTCTCCCGGGACAGTCCCGGCAACATGCTGGCCATTTGCTTTTATTAATTTCCCTCGGACTGTAACAGCCTGTTACAGTCCAAGAGAGTTCAGGAGGGAGATGCTGGGGGCTGGAGAGAACTGCTGGGGGCCAGAGGGAGTACTGACAGTCTCCCTTCCAATTTCCCAGCAGCTTCCCCTACACACACAGGCTCCCCACATCAGAAGCTCCACCCATGCACAGAAGCTCTGTCTCCCGCCATCAAGCTCCACCCCCATGTTAAGCAGGAGACCTTGCTGCAGATAATCATGGCTACCTGACCTCCCAGCAACATTCTCCAGTGTCTTGCTATACTCAGCCTTGTGTTTGTGTGTGTATGTGCCTGCTAGTGAGAGCTTGTGTGTGTGTCAGTGAGCTTGTGTGTGTGTGTATGTCAATGAGCTTGTCTGTAGTGAGCTTGTGACAACTCACCACCACCAGGATATAGCACCTCTACCGCACACACAGCAAACCTGACACAAAACACTCCAGCAGACACACATCACCTTCACATAAACACACATAAAGCACTCGTCAAATACTGCACTCCTCACGCGCACACAAACTGCACCCCTCACGCCCGTACCCAGCACCCTTTACACACACAGCACCCATCGCACAGTGCACCCCTCACACACAGCACTTCTCTCACACACACACTGCACCCCTCAAACAAACACTCAGCACCCCTGACACACAATGCACCCCTGATACACACAGCACCCTCATACACACTCAGCACCCCTTACACACACAGCACTCGTCACAAACTGCATCCCTCACACACACAGCACTCTTCACTCACTATACCCCTCACACAAACACTGCACCTCTCACACACACACACACACACTGCACCTCTCACACACAACACCCCTACACACACAGCACCCCTAAACAAAAACACATACACTGCAGTCTGTGTGTATTCAGCAGTGTGTGTGTGTATGTGTGTATTCAGCAGTCTGTGTATATTCAGCAGTATGTGTGTGTGTGTGTGTGTGAATAAAGTGGCCTGTGTGTATTCAGCAGTGTGTGTATTCAGCAGTCTGTATGTATTCAGCAGCCTGTGTGCATTAAAGCAGTATGCGTATATATTCAGCAGTCTGTGTGTGCGTGTATTCAGCAGTCTGTGTTGCGTGTGTTCAGCAGTGTGTGTGTGTGTGTATGTATATATAGCCTGTTTGTATTCAGCAGTCTGTGTGTGTGTGTGTATTCAGAAGTGTGTGTATTCAACGGTCTGTATGTATGTGTTCAGCAGTCTGTGTATCAATATCACAGAAAACTCCACTGTCTTGTCCTACAGAACTTCTCCACTAACCTCCAAACTCTCCTTTTACCTATCTCAAACCTCACCTGCCCTAGCTTTGCAATCTCCTTCTACAATTCCACCCTCTCCTCTCAACTAGACATCATGGCACCTCCTACATTTAAACGCAGCAAGCACGCCCAACTACAACCCTGGCACACCAAGCTGACTCGATACATCAAAAAATGCTCCTGAACACTGCTGGAGAAAGTCTCACTCCACATCTGACTTTCTCCACTATAAATTTATGCTGTGCTCATACAGCTTGGCTCTTTCCTCTGCAAAAGTAAATTACTTCAATACCCTCATAAACACACTCTCCTGTGAGCCTAAATGACTTTTCCACACTTTTAACTTTCTTCTTTGCCATGTTGCTCCTCCTCCTCCTCCTCCTCCTCCTCCAGACTTAACCACCACAAATTTTGCAACTCACTTCACTGACAAGATCTCTACAATCAGGGAAGATATTTCTCATCTTTCTTCTTCCCCTTACAACACTTCACCTAACCTCACTCCCTCTGCTCATTTGCACCCCCTACGGCGGAAGAGGTTTCTGATCTGCTTAGTTCCTCCCACCCCACAACCGACTCCCTTGATTCTATTCCCTCGCATCTCATCCGTACTCTATCTCCTCTTGCTTTGCCTCTCACTAAAATTCTCACTCTCTCCCTCTCTTCTGGCATATTTCCATTACCCTTTAAACATGCAACTGTAACCCCGATTCTAAAAAAGCTCTACCTTGACCCTAACTCCCTGTCCAACTAACGCCATATGTCGCTACTGCCTTCCAAGATCCTTGAAAGACTTGTGTATGTGAGATTGACAGACCTCCTCGAGTCCAATTCTCTACTCGACCCACTTCAGTCTGGTTTCCGCGCTCAGCACTCTGGCTCTGACTAAAGTATCTAACGATCTACTTGTTGCAAAATCTCATGGTCACTACTCTATCCTAATTCTCCTTGACCTTTCCACTGCTTTTGATACTGTTGATCATCAACACCTTCTTCTCATCCTCCGTAATTTAAGTCTATGAGAAATTACTCTCTCCTGGTGCTCCACCAACCTCACCCAGCGCTCTTTTAATGTTTCTTGCTCTGGCTCTGCCTCTTCCTCACAACCTCTCTCTGTTGGTGTCCCCCAAGGTTCAGTCCTTGGTCCCCTACTGTTCTCAATCTATACTGCCTCCCTTGGTAAACTCATCAGCTCATTTGGCTTCCAATATCACTTCTATGCAGATGACAAGCAAATCTATCTGTCCTCCTCTGATCTCTCCCCGCCCCTCTTGACTAGTGTCTCTGACTGCCTCTCTGCTATTTCTAACTGGATGGCTGCCCACTTCCTTAAGCTCAACTTGTCCAAAACAGAACTTCTGGTCTTTCCTCCCTCAAGTGTTGCTGCTCCCATTTCTGTCTCCCTCCACGTAAATGGTGCTGCCATCAGCTCCACCACGAGGCTCGCTGCATAGGTGTTCTCTTTGACTCCGACCTCTTCTACACCCCTCATGCCCAATCAATCGCCAAATCCTGCCGCTTTCATCTCAAAAATATTGCACGCATCTACCCCTACTTAACGCCAGATGCGGCTAAGGTGCTGGTCCATGCCACTGTCCTCTCTCGCCTTGACTACTATAATCCGCTTCTCAGTGGTCTTACATGCTCCCAACTCGCTCCATTGCAGTCTATAATGAATGCGGCAGCAAGGCTCATCTTCCTGTCCGCCCGCATCTCCCACGCCTCACCCCTCTGTCACTCCCTGCATTGGCATAGGGCTCAATATAAAATTCTGGTACTTGCTTTCAAATCGCTACATAATGCTACTCCCACCTATCTATCCTCCACAAGTATGTCCCGTCTAGGCCCGTACGCTCGGCCAAAGACCTGCATTTATCCTCTGTTCGTACTCCCACCTCTGATGCTCGTATCCAAGACCACTCTAGGGCTGCACCGTTCCCGTGGATCTCCCTTCCCTTTTCCGTTAGTCACTCCTTCAAAAAATCATTAAAAACTCACTTTTCACAAAAATATATCAATTAAACTGTTAATGGCTCCAAAAATCCCCACACTAAGTCTTCATTGAATACTATTCTACCTAATACTTCCCTTTTCTGTCACTTTACCCTCTCTAGCATGTAAGCTCATTGAGCAGGGCCCATACCCCGTGTTACTGTGCGTCAAACTTGTCTGGATACAAATACATGTTTGTTAGTCCATCAAAAAGAGGATCCCCAAATGTCAAAGGTAGCCGGAAAGGAGAACGAATTCAACTTCCAACACACATTAACCAGAGGTGTGCCCATGCAGAGAAGTATATAGCTCAAATGTCATGATTTATACCGTATCGAAAGAAAATAAAAATAAAAAATCTTTAATATAGAAATACATAGAGACAATAAAAGACAGTAAAAAACACAAGGACAGACAGTGCTACCCTCTAGCGGTAAGTCGTAGATGGAGTCTAGATAGTATAGTGTAAATATATACGGGAAAACTTAGGGCAAATGCCTGGTGTCAAATGGTTATCAAGATCCAGACGATATACACGTTATCTAGATGATGGAGGAGGAAGTCACTCCTCTAGGTATTGGAGGTAATAGGAACAGTAAAATATGTCTACCTATAGGATAAGTGCATCTGATATAGTCAGGTGCTACTAATAGTAGAGGCAACCCTGAAATAGTATATGGATCACAATGCACGTTTCTCTTAGTTTAGAGGTAATCTTTAAGCCTATAATCTGAGCTGTTTGCTTGTAGATATTAATCCGTATAGTAGAGTCAGGTAAAGGAGGCAACCCCAGATCAATAGATATGTTAACACACAAATTAACTCTCAACCTGAAGTGCCAAATATCTTACACCTGAGATACATGTACCTGTGGCCACCGTAGCAAATGGTCTAAAAGTAATGAGAAACAATTGTTAATTTATGGACATTAGACCATATAGTAAAAACAGGTAAAGGCGGCAACTCCAAATGATAAATATGTTAATAGTTATAATAGTTATATAGGTATAAGACATCTGGCACTTCTTAAATTGAGAGTTAATCCCAACTATTAACATATTTATCATTTGGAGTTGCCGCCTTTACCTGTTTTTACTATATGGTCTAATGTCCATAAATTAACAATTGTTTCTCATTACTTTTAGACCATTTGCTACGGTGGCCACAGGTACATGTATCTCAGGTGTAAGATATTTGGCACTTCAGGTTGTGAGTTAATTTGTGTGTTAACATATCTATTGATCTGGGGTTGCCTCCTTTACCTGACTCTACTATACGGATTAATATCTACAAGCAAACAGCTCAGATTATAGGCTTAAAGATTACCTCTAAACTAAGAGAAACGTGCATTGTGATCCATATACTAGTTCAGGGTTGCCTCTACTATTAGTAGCACCTGCCTATATCAGATGCACTTATCCTATAGGTAGACATATTTTACTGTTCCTATTACCTCCAATACCTAGAGGAGTGACTTCCTCCTCCATCATCTAGATAACGTGTATATCGTCTGGATCTTGATAACCATTTGACACCAGGCATTCGCCCTAAGTTTTTCCGTATATATTTACACTATACTATCTAGACTCCATCTACGACCTACCGCTAGAGGGTAGCACTGTCTGTCCTTGTGTTTTTTACTGTCTTTTATTGTCTCTATGTATTTCTATATTAAAGATTTTTTATTTTTATTTTCTTTCGATACGGTATAAATCATGACATTTGAGCTATATACTTCTCTGCATGGGCACACCTCTGGTTAATGTGTGTTGGAAGTTGAATTCGTTCTCCTTTCCGGCTACCTTTGACATTTGGGGATCCTCTTTTTGATTCATTACTCTGGGTTATGCCCATTCTGTTGCCCATCTAGTCCTATTTTGACTTTAGGGTTGGACTTTTTCTAACCCTTTAGCCATTTCTTTCTATATCTCATGTTTGTTAGTCCACCCACTTTAAGCGCTACGGAATGTGTTGGCACTATATAAATATAATAATCACTATCCTTCAATAAAATATTATATTGCATTATTAGTCATATTTTCAAAATCAATGTTACAATTTCACAATTTCTGTCAGGGTATGCAAACTTTTGAGCACAGCGGTATACTGGCTTTCTGCGCTTTTCCAATTTGCTCCTATTTGTTCAATTATTTGCACCGAGATACTCTTTATTGCGCCTTTTGCATAATTTTCTTGCAACAGTTAGGGTGGGCATTTTTCTGCGAGTTAGCAGCTTTTATGGTCTTTCTTTCTGTTTAAGGAATAATCCTTTAAATTGTGAATGTGTCTTTTATTGCCTAATAATATTACTCAATTGTTATATTTTGTGAATGGGATCAATGGTAAAATCATCAGGAAAAAAACAGAGCAAAACCTCATAAATAGGAATAAAAAGTGTCAGAAACGACATAGTGGAACAGATTTCCATTGGTGAACTGACATAAAGCGGTTACTGCTTTACATAAAGTTACATGTCATACTAATTATTTAGAGATGCATTATAACCTGTTTAACCTTCTAGAAACCATAAAAAGGTTTTCTCACAACTCTCAATATATTGGGGAGCTAATCTATTTCCTTACTGTGTTAAAGGGTTTGTTGAAGAAGTCACTTGATCATACACTGTTATCAAGCAGCTGAGAGTTTGTGGTTTTTATTTTGGCTAATTGTATGTTGATATTTATTCCTGATGTTGAATTAATTTAAAGGGACACTAAAGTCACCAAAACAACTGTAGTTTAATAAAGCAGGTTTTGTGTATAGATCACGCCTCTGCAGTCTCATTGCTCAATTCTCTGCCATTTAGGAATTAAATCACTTTGTTCCTGTTTTTGCAGCCGTACCCACACCTTCCCTGGTCGTGACTGACATTTTCAATACGATGGAACATACTTTAAACCTTTTTATCTCCTGCTGTGCAAATTAAACTTTAATTACATACAGGAGGCTCCTGCAGGCTCTATCAAGCTATTAACAGAGCAGGAGATAAGACATTCTATTCTATGCAATAAAGGAAGTGTAAACGTTATATGACTTTACAGGAAGTGTTTAGGAAGGCTGTGTAAGTTACATGCAGGGAGGTGTGACTAGGACTGAATAAACAAAGGGATTTAACTCCTAATGGCAGATAAATGAGCAGTGAGACTGCAGGGGCATAATCTATACACACCACTGCTTAATTAAGCTAAAGCTGTTTTGGTGACTATAGTGACCCTTTAAGCTGTAAAATTAAAAAAAGTGGCAGAAAGACGCAGTACTTTGGTGTATCATAGAAAAAGTGGGGAAAAAAAGTCCCCAATGTATAAAAATTGAATAACAGCTTTATGCATAAGAAAATGGTGCATTCACAAAAAACTGGGGATAAAATGAAAGCGAATTTTATACATAACCACCATTATTTGGTTTCTCCTGTACTTTGTATGCTCTCTCTATGCTGACTGCCAGGTGTAAAGGGCGGAGCTTATAACAATGATTGACAGGGAACTAAGATGGAGGCGGCTCTCTCTATACTGACTGCCAGGTGTAAAGGGCGGAGCTTATAACAATGATTGACAGGGAGCTAAGATGGAGGCGGCTCTCTCTATGCTGACTGCCAGGTGTAAAGGGCGGAGCTTATAACAATGATTGACAGGGAGCTAAGATGAAGGTGGCTCTCTCTATACTGACTGCCAGGTGTAAAGGGCGGAGCTTATAACAATGATTGACAGGGAGCTAAGATGGAGGTGGCTCTCTCTATACTGACTGCCAGGTGTAAAGGGCGGAGCTTATAACAATGATTGACAGGGAGCTAAGATGGAGGCGGCTCTCTCTATACTGACTGCCAGGTGTAAAGGGCGGAGCTTATAACAATGATTGACAGGGAGCTAAGATGGAGGCGGCTCTCTATGCTGACTGCCAGGTGTAAAGGGCGGAGCTTATAACAATGATTGACAGGGAGCTAAGATGGAGGTGGCTCTCTCTATACTGACTGCCAGGTGTAAAGGGCGGAGCTTATAACAATGATTGACAGGGAGCTAAGATGGAGGTGGCTCTCTCTATACTGACTGCCAGGTGTAAAAGGCGGAGCTTATAACAATGATTGACAGGGAGCTAAGATGGAGGTGGCTCTCTCTATACTGACTGCCAGGTGTAAAGGGCGGAGCTTATAACAATGATTGACAGGGAGCTAAGATGGAGGTGGCTCTCTCTATACTGACTGCCAGGTGTAAAGGGCGGAGCTTATAACAATGATTGACAGGGAGCTAAGGTGGCTCTCTCTATACTGACTGCCAGGTGTACAGGGCGGAGCTTATAACAATGATTGACAGGGAGCTAAGATGGAGGTGGCTCTCTCTATACTGACTGCCAGGTGTAAAGGGCGGAGCTTATAACAATGATTGACAGGGAGCTAAGATGGAGGTGGCTCTCTCTATACTGACTGCCAGGTGTAAAGGGCGGAGCTTATAACAATGACTGACAGGGAGCTAAGATGGAGGCGGCTCTCTATACTGACTGCCAGGTGTAAAGGGCGGAGTTTATAACAATGATTGACAGGTAGCTAAGATGGGGCGCCCAGTTACAGGATAAAGAGGTGTGGATTTTTTACATTTAATGTTATTTTTCACACCTATACTTATTGTTCAATATAGGGAAAAGTTAAACATTCCAACATTTAAATACTTACTCTATGCACATTTTATTTATTTCTTTTTGCTGAATCATTTTTCAAAAGCCAGTATTTATAAAGGATCTTATTTTAGCATTTTTTTTTTTTTTTTTTTAAACAGAAAATACCATACAATATAGCAATCGCCATGGAGCAAATATTTGTAGATGATTTTATTTAGCACTTAGGAGTGTAACTCTGAAAGTGATATGTTACTCATAATGTCCAGTATTTCCTCATCATCAATATTATCTGCATTAAATTGATCGAAGTGAGAAACCTCCGAGGTAGCAGATGGATCCAATTTTTGAACTACAGGAAGAAATACATCGGTTTCACTAAAGAAAGAGTTCCATTCACTGTTCTTGGAGTCATTCAAGCCGTTGTCTTGGTTATCGTCATCGCGGTCGATGGATAAAAAGTAGTCATCTACACCAGAGAGGAGGTCTTTTAGTTCCTGATAACTATCCTCATAATGCACATCATCTGGTAAAATGGGAAAACCATCCCCGGAACTAGAGGGAGGTGAGCTGGATGGGCAGGTGCTGGGTGGCTTATCACAAGGTATGGGCAGAAAGTGAGCATGGTGGAAAGATAAGTGCATGGGATCTTCCAAGTGACAAGGAAGTCCCATGTGATAAACACGTGGAAGGCCAACCATTGGAGCAATGAGACCAGTATTGCTACACAAAGACATACCGACAAACTCATTTTCAAGATGCAGATCAGGCATATAATATTTGGAAGATACTTCACTGTCATTACCCAATGAGTGGACATTTCTCTCCAGAAATAAAGAAGATTGATCATTAGAGATTACTTCTGCTGGATGGTGCAAGGACACAGTCTCTGTTTTTTCTGGCTGGGATATGCTGGGTGTCGACTGTGTTGGCATTGTGCTGGCTGGTTGTGTTAGCTGTGTAGGAATGTCAGCTTTTGGCAGTAGTTCTATACCGTGAACCAAAGGAGGGATGGAGTGGGTGAAGGCAGAGGAACTTAACGTATATATATCTGAAAGGTTGGAAGACATCACTGTGCATGTAGTAAAATGGCTGGAGAAGTCATTAGTGACACTAGGTGGACTACATTTCTTCTTCTTAATGCATGGCTGATATACCCAGTCTGGAAATTCATGTTGGTGCCTCTGTCTGATTCTTTCAGCTTCATCAAAATATGGTTTCTTTTGCTCAAAGCTTAACTTCTTCCACTCTGCACCTAACAGTACACTGATCTCTGAATTACTGGTAGAAGGAATGGTTTTAGCTAGGACTGAACGGTGAATTCTGGCCCAGACCATAAATGCATTCATAGGACGCTTAATCTGCCCGTTTTTGTTTTTACCAAATGGTGTATCAGGAATTCCTGCTTCTGAGGGGAGCATAGTAAGAGCAATACTGTTCTTATCTGGCTTCCCAGAGGACTCCTCCAAATACTGTGTATTTACAGGAATTTGTGCTTGTACAGGGCTGGTAAGGCTGGTGATGTCTGAGGATGGTGAGCGAGGCTGTAACTGTATAGTTGTCCCTGGTAGTAGGCTATTTAGAGGTTTAGGCATCTCTACATCATTAAAACCTGTATTAAGCACCTCCTGTTTCTGGGATAAAAGCGTTTCTGTCTGTGAGTGATCTTGACAAGAATTATTGCCTGATATTTTACCATTGACTGCTTCTTCATCTTCAGTTTTTTCTGTTTTGATATCTTCTTTAGCTGGTAAGGCAAAACTACTGGTGTGGATTTGTTGATAGTCCATCTGTTGCATTGCCAGGTTCTTGCCTGCCTGGAAATCCATTGAGTCTTACAAGTTTCCAGGTGCCGAGTGTTCTAAGTTCTTCTCATTCACTGTTACGTCATCACCATTATGACATACGGTCTGATCACAGAATTCTATGATCCTCTTGTGCTGCATGCATTCTGTGTGGCGTATGAAGAAATACAGGGATAACTGACTAAATGTAATGACAGTTGTCCTTTAACAGTCACAAAACTAGTGCAACTCAACCTGTAATGAATAGACCCTTTAGCTAGGTCCTCTCCATTGATAAGGACAAGAGCCTGTCATTGACTGATCAACCTTCTTGCCTCATATTGACATTTCCTGAGACAGCTGAAAAATGATGACTGAGAGTAAATTTTAAATTTAAAAGGACCATATTCCATCTCGTATCATTTCTTACTTTAATTGATAACAATTTCCTTATAACTACTGAGCATCAGTTTTCCCCAAATCAATCAAAATGTTTGTGTATAAACACATATTATACAGGAGTATTACAACATAAATAGTTTATTTCAGTCGATAAGTTGCATGTGTGGAGTTACGTGTGAATATTCAGTAAATTATTCTACCGCTCAGTGGCTCTTTAACAGTTTCAGTGCCAGAAAGGCCACCAACGGACGGCCAGACAAAGCACTGGGCTCCCCTCTTGTAATCCAAAGTTACATAAATCACGTCTCAATACCTTTTATGAAGACAGTTGCTTAATGGACTGCCCTTTGTGGGGAAGGCTTTGAATTGATGAGGGAAGACTCATAAATCTCTCCATCATTTTTGTGCGACTTTTGGAAAAAAAAAAATTTCAGTCAAACACAAATAACAAAAAGCTTAATTTATTTTTTCCCTCATCACATCAGAGATTCGCTCCGCTTCTATTCAGGGGGTCCACTTGGCGGGCAAGTCCTATAGTGAGGGGAAGCTCCACCATTTAAGTGTTATATAAGAGGACAATGCATCCAACCTAAGCGAGATAGATCCAACCCTGCACAATGCATGGGTTATACCAATCTATGAGAGACAGGCCCTGCCCTGTACAATGCATGGGTTATACCAATCTATGTGAGACAGGCCCTGCCCTGTACAATGCATAGTTCATAACATTCTATGTGAGACAGGCCCTGCCCTGTACAATGCATATAACAATCTATGTGAGACAGGCCCTGCCCTGTACAATGCATGGGTTATACCAATCTATGAGAGACAGGTCCTGCCCTGTACAATGCATGGGTTATACCAATCTATGAGAGACAGGCCCTGCCCTGTACAATGCATGGGTTACACCAATCTATGTGAGACAGGCCCTGCCCTGTACAATGCATAGTTCATAACATTCTATGTGAGACAGGCCCTGCCCTGTACAATGCATGGTTTATAACAATCTATGTGAGACAGGTCCTAACCTGTACAATGCATGGTTTAAAACAATCTATGTGAGACAGGCCCTGCCCTGTACAATGCATGGTTTATAACAATCTATGTGAGACAGGTCCTAACCTGTACAATGCATTGTTTAAAACAATCTATGTAAGACAGGTCCTACCCTGTACAATGCATGGTTTAAAACAATCTATGTAAGACAGGCCCTGCCCTGTACAATGCATGGTTTAAAACAATCTATGTGAGACAATGCATGGTTTATAACAATCTATGTAAGACAGGTCCTACTCTGTACAATGCATGGAATAGAGGAATGAACATGGCTGACATATAGTATCAAACATGGCAGGCATGTAGGAATGAACATGGCTAGCATGTAGGATCAAACATGGCTGACGTAACTGTAGCTTAATGAAACAGTTTTTGTATATAGCTCATGCACCTGCAGTGTTACTGTTCAATTCTCTGCCATTTTTGCATGATAAAATGATTTCATTTTTAATCAGATGTTAACTTACATTAGAAGTTTTTATATCCAGGGATGGAGAATGACCTGCAAGCAGACAAGACATGTCCCACACAAGCTCCTGCAAACCACGTAGTTTCTTGGATTGCCGAGCTGGAAACCTAAATCTAAGGTGCTCCATAGTTGGGGGCACACCAACAAATCAATCGGCAGCAGACTTAAGCCATAAATCACCACTCTCCCTTTCTCTAGCTGTCCCCGCCTCCCGCCCCCCAGACTGGCAGAGGTTATCCCGGTCCCCACTGGATCAGCATATCTTTCCTACATTTGGCTGACCATCTCTACTTGCTTCTACATGACGCAGTACTTGTCAAGATGGCGGCTTTTCACTTTCACGCATGCAAGGCCCTTCACTACCGCAGTATCGCCTCATGGAAAGTTTCCTAGCAAGGTTGGAGGACATTTTCACATGTTTATGGGCAAAGCTGGAAGTGCATGCTGCAACATTATCTTTCCAGCCTCGGGAGGAAGATCGGAGGTGCGTGCAGCAGAAGAGAGGGAGGACTTCTCCGGGCGCAGTGGCAACATAAACAACTGCAACTACCTGGGGCTGGTAAAGAATCCCTCAAAGCCACTGTTATGCTAACTCCTTCAACGACCGTTTAGCAAGCCCATCATGTTTCCTGATGTCCGGTATTGGTTAATCATGGACACACTTCTACAAACAGATGCTAAGCCTTAATCTACAACTTCTTTTGACAGAGGCAAAACAAAAGGATATCATTAGTAGTCAAGTTTTCTCTTTTTTATTCCAGGAATTCCCTTGGATTGTAACATTTTATTTCCTTCCAAAGATTCACAAGTCCAAAAAGAATCCACCAGGACGCCCCGTTATAAGTGATATTGAATCTTTAACATCCAAACTTTCTGAATTTATAGATAATTTTTTATAGAAATATGCTAAATCGTATCTTAAAGATATGAAACATCTTTTACAAGAACTGGAATCTATAGAATAGAAGGTAGGTTATATGTGGGCCACCTTTGATGTGACCCCCTATACACAGTAATAGATCACCAACTAGGCATATTAGCAGTCAAACAATTTAGAGCAAGATGTCAGCTTAGAAGTAGACTTTAGCAATCTTTTATTGGAATCCATTGCTTTTATCCTCAATCACAACTTTTTTATTTTTAATGGGGATTTATTTTTACAGATTAAGGGCACCACCATAGGCACCACGTTCGCCCTAAGCAATGCCAATATCTATTTCGATAGCTAGAAAATATATATTAATTTGGAACAACAATCCTTATTGGTCAAATTTATTGCTCTGGCGTCGCTACATTGATTATATTTTAGGGATTTGGAAGGGAACAGAAGACATTTTTAACTCTTTTATAGACTACATTCATGAAAATGAATTTTCTTTGGTGTTCACTCCCAAAATTAACGAAAGCACTATCGACTTTTTAGATTTAACTATTTATACTGAATTATCTAACATAAAAACCAAGACATACTTCAAGCCCACCGACACAAACAGTTTTATAGATGCGACCAGTGGTCATTACCCTAGATGGCTATCTGGTGTACCAAGGAGCCAATTTATCCGCCTAAGACGTAATTGTACTGACAAAGACTTTTTTTTTATGAACAAACATATTTTTTAACTAATACATTTTTGGAAAAAGGATATTCTAAGAATGAACAAATATTATTTTTCTATTTCCCAGAAAAAGAAAGGTTTTTATCCTTGTGGTCACTGCAAGGCCTGTAAGTTTTTACAGAGACACACTCCCTCTTTTCAGAGTCACGTCACCCAAGAAGATTTCAAAATAAAAGGCCTGCTTGACCTGCTTTTCTACCCATGTAGTGTACCTACTTACTTGTAGGTGTGGTTTACAATACGTTGGTAGAACAGGCAGAAAAGCTAAAGTACCCTTTCTAGAACATCAAAATAACATTAGAAAATGCATCACAACACATCCTCCTACTTCATTGCGATCACTGTCCAGAATTTAATCCCCCAAAACTTATGTTCACTATTATTGAATAGGTCAAACTAGATGAAAGGAGGGGTGATTTGATGATGAACTAAGACAGAGAGAAGGTTTTTGGATCCATAGTTTGGAAACTCTCCAGCCTAGGGGTCTTACTGTTGATTTCGATTTAGTTTGTTTCTTATAAATTATTATTTTATTATATGGATTTAATTATATAATTTATCCTTTTAGTAATTTTTTTTAATTCATTTTTTGTCTTCTATTCATTAGCCATTTTTTGGTAGTTAAAATTGATCTTTTCTATCTATGAATTGAAAAGTAGATTGTATCAAGTACTATACAATTTTATATAGATATTTATGTTTGTATAACATTTTTACAGCTTTTTTGCAAATATTAATTAATATTTCTAGGTAATTTTGTTTTGTTTTCTAATAGATTTTCATACATATTTCAGAAGGTTTTAAGAATTGTTATTTATTTAGCTTCTATTCCTTTTTTATATGCATCATAACCCCTTTTACATCTGACTCTCATGGTTTCTTTTTTTTTCTCATGGTTTCTAATGACATTCTCGTATTTGGAACGCACTTGCGTTCCATTGGGCATAAGATGACTGCAGAGAGATCGAGGGTACGCACGTGCGCATTAGGAGACCCTTTTATGCAGTCTTCGAGGCCACTTGGAGGACGGACGTCGACGTCATTACATCACTGGAACACACGCACATACCCAGAAGTAGAATACAGACAAGATTGCAATATTGTATTGCACGTGCGTTCCGCGGCCGAAACACAACAGGAACTGTGCAATATCGCCGCAAATGTTTACAATTTAGGTGAAAATGAACAGCTGCAGGGACCACTCCGGGTTGACTGATGGCAATTTGGAGGTGGACTCTATTATATGTATATGGGACCTTTTGCACTACATGTATTCTATGTAAGTCTCCTGGGAGATGGAACGTGTAGGGTGAGATCTTTACATCCCACTGTTTTTCATGTCCATGTCAACATCTTCATTTTAAGGAAAAAGAGGCTCCAGTTCATCTTTGCACCCGCACTTTATGAACGTTCCAGTTCCTTCAGAGATCTGTTGATGGGCTTTTTATGATCTTCTATTTTGTAAGTGTAACCAATAAAGCAGTTTGCTACATTTGTATAGAGTATTGCACTATGTCTCTCCACCATTTCTTCTACATGTATATTTGAGAATATCCGAAGACCTACATCCCCAGAATTTTAACCACATTCCATATATGCTCTTCCTTGTTTTACTCTTGTGAGTTCAACATTGAATTTTATAATCTCCATGTATAAGACCATACTACTCTATGTGTGTCCCGTGTTGTTCTATCATTGTAGATACATTTTTGTGCAGTTTTTTATTCGAGGATTTGAGGAATCCTTATGTGATCTACTACACCTCAAAGGGTACATTAACATTGTATTTAAGGGTGTTTACTGTTTGTGTATTGCTGTTTTAATCTTGAGACAATATGACCTAAGCATCCTCCACCTTTACTTTTCAGTTTGATATGTTTTCTTGTATTATCCCGCATTTTATTTTACATGCAGTGGCGCTAGGATGGATGTTTTTGTACCGGTGGCCTCACAATAGTCTTGTTTCCCAAGCATGTTATATTGCATAATTCTTAGTTGACAATCTCATGTCTATACATGTATCCAGATGATGGATTCTCTCCCTTATGTACAGGATTTATACATATGGTTTAGCTTGTTTATTATGATCTTAAAAATCTGCAATTTTCTCATACCATGGCAATGAATTTACATGTACGTACATTCAGCGCTTGTCCATGCTGTTGTGGCATCACAAGCCTGTTTGTTCTTCCTTGCACAATAAAAATAAAGAATGTCAATGAGGCTTTTATCTCCTGCTAAAATTGAATTTTGATCACACGCAGGTGACTCCATTTAGAAGGCTATTAACAACGCAGGATATAGGAAATTCTAAACACACTGTACAGTAAACGATGTTTAAACATTAGATCTTACTTTACAGGAAGTGTTTAGGAAGGCTGTGTAAGTCACATGCAGGGAGGTGGGCCTAGGGCTGGATAAATAAAGAGATTTAACTCTTAATGGCAGAAAATTGAGCAGTGAGACTGCAGGAGCATGATCTATACACCAAAACTGTTTCTTTAATCTAAAGTCGCTTTGGTGCTTCAGTTTGTATGTTTTATAGAATCCAGAAAACAAACTATGTCACCCATTCCAAACTCGTTGGGTTTGGGACATAGAGGTCAGTGTGGTGGTACAAGACCACCAATGGGCTTGGACCCTAAAATGTGATTGGACTCTATACTAGTATATATAAAGGGGGGGGGGGAGATTATTTTAACAGCTAAATAACTTGCTTAAAGATGAGCCTTGTGTGGCAATAAACCACATTCCCACAGCTAGATTTGTACAAAATGTATCCAATATACAAATACTTTATTGGATAAAATAGGGACTGTGACGTACCACCTGGCACTCCGACTGGATGCCTCCTCCAATTGATGCTTCCTAGCTGATGCTGAGGACCATAAGCACCGCACGGGACACCATAAGCACTGTAGACCCCACAAACCGCCGCAGCTTGGTTGGAGTCTCGCCATCCCTTCCTGTCCTGGACTAAACTCCTGGATCTTAGTGGGAAGGTCTCTCCTCCAGAGAGTATAGCTGTGAAGATCTTACAAGAGCTAGTGATATAACTGTGAAGCAGGTTCCCTACAAACACGAAACAAGGTTACGTGTGGAGGGTTAAGCAGGAATACATTTTAATGGTGCCAAACTGGCCTTTTATGACAATTCCCATGCAAGGGGTACGCCCATATGGACCTTGTTGGGGACAGAGACACAAATTGACAAACCAATAAGAACAGTGATTAAATGCACGACACTCCCACATACAATACAATAAGCCTTCCCCTTTACTTAGGAGATAATTGAGTCAAGCACTATACTAAACTCAATTATCTTCAAACACAAAAAACACAAATTTTTACAAAAAAAACAAAAATACCTTAAAAACACATAATCTCCCAATAGTTACATCCCCTGATAGCCCTGATCTGGGTGACCAACATATCCAAAAATCACCTAGATCAGTTCAGGGGTTCAGAAATTTTATGAAAGTCAAAGTTTTTACAGACCGCAGGCATTGTCCCATAGCCAAAAACAGTTCCATAGAATCGTGGCTAAGTGCCGCTGGAGAACCGACCATTAACCACGAGGTTTTCATGCTGAAAATAGTTCCAGGGCATTCGCGGCTAAGTCCCCCTGAAGTCTATTCGCGGTTTTGGTCCATACAAACAAAATTGTCACCACCACGTGGTTAAAAGGCACTTCAAATGGCTTTGGGACGTCGGGAGTTCGAAGTGCCGCTTCAAAAGTTCGAATTGTTCCTGTTATAAGTCCCAACAGGCACAAATAGTGTTTTCAGATAGGTTTTAACAAAGGGGCCATAGTCACATGGCAAGAGGTTGGCAAGAATGCCACTCCAAGAACCCGTGACGAGGTCCAGTTCGTCACAGGGACAATAAGATACAAATTGGAGTAAAGCTGGGGAGTCCAGATAGTTGTAATGTATATAGCGACACCAGATCCTATCCTTGTCTGTTAGTCTCAGAATACAGCTAAAGAGAACATGGCTGAACTAAGCCCTTGTAGTCGCTGCTGAGACCAAATGACAGGATAAATTAGTGGGAGAAAGTTCGCTAAACAGTGAGCTAGGTAGCTATATCATGGAACAACTATGAGTACAGTAGACAAGAGGGCCAGGCAAATATAGCCTGAATCTAGTAGATATTGATAAATAAAGTTACAATGGGCAGTAATATCGGTTCAGGTTGAATGAGTGCGGTAATCACTCATACCTACTAAAGAAACATGGGAAACTTAAGTATCTTTTCCTCTACCGATGGATAATGAAAACCTCTTTAGGATAGTTTGGTGGGAGAAGGGAGGGGCAAACATCCATGCAGAGCAAATAAATCTTATAGGTACTAAATGCCCTTACTACTAGTCCCTAAATCTCCTAAGAAACACCTTTGTGGGTGTTCTATGCTAATACCTTATCTCTACTAGATCCATGCCCTCAGCTTCAGTCAACCCACACAGACAAATCCATAAAGAAAAAGGTGCTAAACACCCAGTGAGTGCATTAGTGATGCAAGTGCTTCATGAAGTGAAAATAGAAAGACCTGACGCGTTTCGGTGCATAGTACTGCAACTTCATCAGGGGATAACCTCTCCGTGTGGATCGGGTTTTTGAATGCATGAGGATCAATCATCTGTCGTTGTGTAAACCTCCACGTGATGTGTCGTGTTTGCAATTCACATTATTGCCAGGTGTGAGAGAGAGGAGGGGGGAGGCGTCCTCTGACAGACAGGTCAGATCATCCACCCCTCCATGTCACACCTCCGGTAGACTCTCTGTCTTCAAATTTTGTGTCATCTGTGGGCGTGCCGAACTTTATCCACAGCTCCACCCATCATAGAAATTCCTCCCAATGTACATTGGTTAACTACGTTACATTGGGGGGTAGGCGGAAAAACAAAAAACAGAGGTGGAATAATAGTCTATTATTTACAACTACATATTTAATTTGCTGATACCGTTCATAAGAATGTGATCTAAGTAGTGTGCTCGGATGCTGAGAGGAGCCGGGTCATCAGTGAAGAGTCTACTTTAGATTTTGAGGCTGTAATATTTGTAGTTGATTCTCTTTACAAGCTACGGACAGCCCATAGCAGGAATAAGGGTGACAGACTAAGGTCCATTCCGCTACATTCACCATCAGTCTCACCGCTCCTCTCCAGGGAGACTTACTGTGACGACAGTCTCCACTTCCTTTAGACTAAAATAGTGCATGTACAACAACTGCATTGAAGGCAACAATCAAGCATGGAGATCGCCCAATACAATGCTTAATTGACTAATGCTTCCCTATGGAAGCGCTCACTTCCACATAAATGTTTGTTCAAGTGGATTAAATCAGGAAACCCTCCTGGCTATCGGCCTAACTGCCTTGTGGATGTTCGTAAATTAATTAGTATATTTATGACAAAAAAAGATAGCAAAAGAACACAAAGGAGTGCATCAAAACTAGAGTATAGAGGGAGTAAGAAAGGTGCAATAAAATAAGGGAAATAGATCTGAAACTGTAAAAAAAAGGGTCACCAATCATTATAAATAATATACATAAGAATGACGATAATACTATGAAGAAATGTTCAGGAGCCTAAAAATCTCACATAAATATAGATGTCATAATAGAAACATCAACGTGAATACAAATAATATAAAGTCCCAAAAATAGAAATACAAATAAAATGTGGACTTATTTTATATTTCTATTTTTGGGACTGTATATTATTTGTATTGTATTCACACTGTTGTTTCCTTTGAGTCATATATTAGCATTGGGACAAAAGAGAAACTCATATTCAAGTGTTTCAGAGGTCTGGAGTGTTGAAGACTGTCAACAACCAAAGGGACTTGGTAAACCACTGACAAAGCTTTTACAAATAAAGTAATATTTTAAAAATTACCAAACTTAACAATGAGCAAAACGAACATTACATACTTGCTGGCATTTCAGATCTGGACTTCCCGTACGGGTGGCACCAGTCTGATATGCTTCAGATATGTTCTCTCTGTAATGGCACAAGTGAGCAGAACCTATTCTGAGCGGGGATGTACCGAAGGGCAAGCTTTCGAGTCTCTCTATAAGCTTTTCTTGTTCTCAGAGTTCTCATCCTTTCTTTTTTGCTTTAGAACATTACATACACTTTTCCATATCTGATTACAAACATTTACAAATGTTTCCGGTTACATTAATTAAAACAAATTCGTACTTATAGTAACTTGATAACATAATGGAACACACACTCATTTTAATGTCAATTTATAACAACAGGTTAATGCCACACGTCACCTATTATCATCCTTCTGTGATTCACTTTTAAAGCACTTTGAGATTTTGATTATTTGGGGATGGGGGGGGCGGGGGACACGCATAATTAGGGGGGAGTTGTTCAGGATCTGTTTTCAAATGAATTAATAAAGTGCGGGATTGTGATCACGGCTGTAATCAATAGAGCATCTCACCTCTAAGGTAAGGAATTTTAGACACTGATTATGTAGATTTTACAATGTAACATTAAAATAATACAGGATAAACAGGCTACATGAGCAAATAAAAGTACATTCTGGATCACATGTATTGTTGAGGCATGTAATCTTTACTGGTTCTCCGTATCCCCTACACTGCTTTTTTATAGCTCTTTATTCACACAAAATAAGCCAGAAGGTGCTGAAAGTCTCGGCGCTGAAGGGATTAATATATCGTTTTTGTGTGAAAATAGGGCTCCATTTAATGATGTTGAGAGGTTTTACAGTTGCCGTTAACACGTTGGTCTTGTATAAAGACATTGGGCACTTTGTTTGAGACAATGATCTGAGCAACCTCTACTGGTGCCAGCTTTTTTATAACGTGTCAATGGTGAGATTTATGGGGTCTTTGTGGTGGTCCCCGGCATCAGCAGCTTGTGAGTAAACATTTACAGTGGAGTGTGGTCTGCAGGCAGACACAGTTTTATAGAACGAAAGCCGTGACTTTTGTGTTTATTAGCAGAGACCCCAGAAGCAGAGCTCCATAGACAGAGTGTCTCACGTACAGCGAGCAAGCGACACGGCAACTTCCGATTACATGCTGCGTTTACATATGTACATGGAGGTCAGAAGTAGATTGGTCATTTTAATGGCACCTACAATGCTAACTCATGACCGTATCTAAACATGTAAATAAGTTCCAAAAGTATTTTCACACAATAATTGTATAAACAGTAATAAACAATATACAAGCCTGCCGTTCTCAAAATGGCTCTAAAATTGACTATTAATCTGATTGCTAACGCTGAAATGCCAATAACAAGGTGTCACACAGCTCTCACATAAATATAGGACAAAGCAGCAATGTTATGAATAGATTAACTGTTAAAAGATCCCAAACAATTTACATTTTAATTTATTTGTAACAATAATCAAATAAAATATTTGATGTGATACAATATAACTTATCTGGTTCTGAAACATTAGCAGAGAAACGCAAATGCATATTTTGTTGTGGTACAAATGGCCAAATAACATACTTATGGGTATATGCAAGGAACGTGGTGGTGTTTTTCAGAACAAAGAATTCCAGAACGCAGTTAGAACATTATTTCTGCCTGTGTACAAAATGTCTACATACAGTGCATGCAGTTACCTGGCTAAAACCAAGGATCTGTGTTCACTGCCAGCAAAGACCTTGGCATATTCCCTAAACACTTCCCTTTCTCCCCCTCTCGGCTGCTGTACTATGTGAGCCTCTTGGTATCCAATACAGTGTGAGAAGAAGATGGTGAGTGATCCAGAGGGGATTACTAAAACTGACTGGGAAATGTAAAGCGATAGAATGGAGGTAATAATAAGGGGGCTTTGCTTTACTGCCAGCAGTAGGAGGAAAGGAGACAAAGTTACAATGCAATGCACTATAATCCTATATTGTTCCTTTTGTATTCCAAAGAGGATACAACTCATGCTAATGAGACATTTTTAGACTAAAAACAGAACAGAGTTTGAAAACAGGAGACTGCTGCCGATTTTAGATTGTTTTTAGAAAATGGATGCCAATATAATTCCATAAGTTAGGAGCTAGTGTGACACGAATTCACAGCTGCAGGAAAATTCCGAGGTGGCTGAATTCCTGGGACTGTGGATACAGACTCTCTGTTAGGATGGACAGGGAGAATTTGCAAGAGTACCGAGATTTCCTTTGAAATTCAGCGAGTAACCCGCTTAGAACCTCCTGATATAAACTGTACAGTCACCCAAATAGATGCTGAAAGATCCTGTTCTTCAGTGATACTCTATATATGTTCACACTTATGTAGGAGTGAGTTCACAATAAGACTCTGTTAATATTTGACAAGATGCCAGGGGCCTTTTGTTGCAATCTTGAGTGACTAACCTGAAAGACTGAAATAAACGACTTTACAGGAACATCAATCAGTGAAAGTGCCTATTTACTCTCTCGTGTCCTTAAACAACCCTGACCTCAAGAATCTGATTGAAGAAAGATAAAGAATGAAACGCGTGGGGCCATAGGAGAGTACCATGTCTGTCAGATCCATTTCTGGGCCCCCTTCAAATAAATAAGGAGAGAAATGTGGGATGGAATAGTTCGAAAAGGGAAACAAATATCTTTAGAAAAACAAAGAGGTTTGCAGAGATCAATAAAGGAAGTGTGGGCTTCTGCGGATGTCAAATTTCTATACAGAAAGAGCAAACTGTGTGATCAGTAACAAAAACCTTTATGATTTCATTTATTTAAAAACAAAACTCTCCTATCGTAGAAGCAGCAGTCAAACATAAATGAGCGCATGCACCCCAATCATCCGCGGCTGCTGGCTCCAGCTGGGCAGTTCTTTCACAGCTCTTGCAGGGTGAGACATTTGGTTTAGTATGAAACAGAAAAAGTCGTGGCTTTCTCTAATGATTTCACAGGATAATTAAGTAATTCATTTGTGGAAGCAGTGATAAGCTGTCTGCAAGCTTTAGTGTTGATCATAACAGCAGCCATGCAGGAAAGACACCTCCCTGGACTGACAAGGAAGGGGGGACATGACTGCGGCTAGGTTAAGGAGTCTTGAAGGAGTAGTGGAAGGGAGGGGTATAGATGGATACATAGTTGCTAAGATGGAAGACAGTTATAAGCACAGTTAGGGGAGGTGACTTACCAGTCAGCTTTTGGAAGTGCAGGGATCCTGACTTTCATCTGTCCTTCATCTGTCCTTCTTGGCTGACCCCTTTAAAAAAAAAAAAAAAACTTGATTATTATTCAGGCTTTAACTTACCTGTTTTTCCTGATTGTCTGATGGAAGTTTCCCAGGAATCATTGGTGGCCCTGTTGCAGGCTTACCGGGCTGCACATGGTGCAGGCTCGTTGGCAGCGGTATTGGCCGGCGTGGACGGTGTCCCGTGTGAAGAGGCAAGGCCAGTGGATGAGGGGCGGCGGGCCAGGCTTTCAAGGCCGCCGTCGCGACTGTCTCCCAGCCCGGTGAGAGGAGAGCGAGAAGGCCGCAGGCGTAGGCGGACTGGTGTGGATGGGGATGTGGAGCCGAGCCTTGGGTCGTCCCCCGAGCGGTCCGGTCCCAGGTGAGGGTTGCGGTGGCCTCCGGCAGCCATTCCCAAGATGGCGGCATGGCGGGAAGGTCGAGGAGCCCGCCGCCTTCTCTTCCGGCGCGGCCGGAAGTGACGTCACGGCGCCGGTCGCGCACGGCCGGCGCGCTGGATGTGACCTCATCTGCCGGCGACGGGCAAAACCCGGAAGTGGGTGCCCGCAATGGAAATAGGAGGCCGGGCGCCAGGAGATGGCAGGCGCCGGCTGAAGAGACCGGAAATAGGGGTGCTGTGACCCGGACAGCAGCCCCAAGGAGATGGGAGTCCCCAGGACCGGGCAGTTCAAGGGGTGCTGCGGATCAGGCGGCAGCCCCGGCGGTCGGGAGGCCGTGTCGGTTGCAGCCCCCCTGGGAGCTGGGAGGCTCCAGGGTGATTCCGGAGAGGAGGAGGAGTCCAAGGAGGAGTGTGAAGCTGATGGAGAACGGCCCCTGCGCCTCCCCTCATTTGGTGAGTTGGCATGCGCTGGCGCTTGGGGTTCGGCAGGGGGATCAGGTCAGGATAGTGAGGTATTGTGCCTGCTGAGGTTTTTAGTGGAGGGTCAAGCCAGGGGCAGTGGTCTAGGGGTTCAGGGTTCGGGTAGTACGGATAGTTTGAGGGGGCAGGGGATGGGGGTTGGTTCCTTTCTCCCGGGGTGCGAACTGGCCCCTTTAGGTTTGCACGTGCCTGCTGAGGTGCAGGAGAAGATTATTCGGGGTGAGTATGTGGATCTCCTTTCTCTGGTTCCGCCGGACAAGGAGTCCGTGGACAGACCGCGCCGTGGTGAACAACTGGACGGAGAGAAGGGTAAGGCTATCCCGCGTACGTTCGGTAATTGGCTGCAGGGATTTAATATCTTTGCTAGCGTGCTAGTGCGTCGGTTCCCAGAGAGGGCCCCCTCGTTATTTGGGTATTTGGATTTAATTTGGGGCGCTTACAAGGTTTATGGGGGACAGTGCTGGTTCAAATACGACCAGCAATTCCGCCAGTGAGCGTGGAAAAGATACATCCCCGGTTAAGCAAGTATCCTAAGAGGGACGTCGCAAGCCTTTTGTTCGACGGTTTTACAATGGGTTTCTGGATTCCCTTTGTGCTGTCGGACGAGGGCCGGTTTGCTGGGAATCTTCGGTCCACGCGGGGTAGGGAGGGTTTATTGCAGGAAAAGCTGGAGGCGGAGATTCAACTGGGCCGCATGGCCGGTCCCTTTGATTCCCCCCATTCCACAACCTGAGGGTGTCTCCGTTGGGTCTGGTACCCAAAAAAGACCCGGGAACTTTTCGGTTGATTCACCATCTCTCGTACCCTTCGGGGGCATCGGTCAACGATGACATCGACAGGGATGCGTGCAGGGTGCGTTATGCGTCCTTCGACTCGGCCTTGCTCCTCCTGCGGCGGGCCGGTCGTGGGGCTTTATTGGCAAAATCGGATATTGAATCGGCCTTTCGTTTGTTGCCGGTTCATCCGGATTGTTTTCACTTGTTGGGGTGTTTCGCGAACGGTTGCTTCTATTATGATATGTGCATGCCCATGGGTTGTGCTATATCTTGTTCTTATTTCTAACTGTTTTCTTCCTTTTTGAAGTGGGTCACGTCTAGAGTTTCAGGTTTGGGGTCCTTGACCCATTACTTGGACGATTTTTTGTTTGTCGGTCCGTCGGGTTCCCAGGAGAAGTTGGAGGGGTTGCTTCGGCTAGTGGACTTGGTCAAAGGTACCAAGAAGGTTAAGTTGCGACAGATGCAGGGCCTTTTGGGGCACTTGGTTTTCGCATGTCGGGTGTTACCGATGGGTCGGGCATTTTGTCGCAGATTGTCCTTGTCCACGGTGGGGGTGAGGGAACCCTTCCATTACGGTCGGATCTGACGGTGTGGAGCTCCTTCCTACGTAGTTATAACGGGCATTCTTGTTGGTTGAGGGAGGCCACCTCCAATGCCGCATTGGATCTCTTTACCGATGCCTCGTGGTCCGTTGGTTTTGGAGCGTATTTTCGGGGTCAGTGGTGCGCGGGGGAGTGGCCGGAAGATTGGCGGTCTTCCTTATTGAGGAGGAATTTGACCTTTTTGGAACTGTTTCCGATAGTGGTCGCGCTGGAGCTGTGGGGCGAGGATCTGAGAAATCACACGGTGGTCTTTCACACGGACAACATGAGTGTGGTTCATGTGATTGCCCGTTTGTCCTCCTCGTCTCCACCAGTTTTGGCTCTTCTCCGTCACCTCGTGCTCCTTAGTCTTAAGTTTAATGTTTGGGTGCGGGCGCAGCATGTCCCGGGTGTTCAGAACGTGGTGGCTGATGCATTGTCTCGCTTGCAGTGGGAGCAGTTTCGCGAGGCAGCGCCAGAGGCGCAGCGGACCGGTCTGCGGTGTCCAGACTCCTTATGGAAGCTCGATTTCGAGGTCTGATGGGCTTGGTATCGGATTCCTTGGCGGAGTCTTCCTGGAAGGCATACCGGGCAGTGTGGAGGCAGTGGCTGTCATCAGCATGGGACGGGGATGTATCCACGGAATCGGGTCGTGCGGAGAGGACTCTCGTGTTGCTGGATGACTTGGTCAGGAGAGGTAGGTCCTGCGCTGCAGCGGAGAAGGCGTTGGCTGCCCTGTCGTTCCTGTTTCGCTTTATGGGCTAGCAGGATGTTACTAAGGAATATGGGATTCAGAGGGTGGTCAAGGGTTGGCGGCTGCGGCGTCGCCCGGATGGTCGTCGCCCAATTTCGGCTGAAATGTTGCGGCGGATTATTTTAGTACTACCGACGGTCTGTGGTTCGGAGTACGTATCGAAGTTGTTTCGCGTGGCCTTCTCGGTCTGCTTTATTGGTGCCTTTCGCATCGGCGAGTTGGTAGCCCCGAGCAAGGGGAAGGCCTCGCCGCTGGCATTGTCGGATGTGCGGTGGTCTACTTCCACCGTCGACGTTTTTGTGCGGCGATCCAAGACAGAACAGGCGGCCCGGGGGGCCTGGGTTCGTTTGGGGGCCACGAGGGACGAAGTTTGTCCGGTTGGGGCCTTCCACGCTTTTCTGGAGGTGTGCCCGGAGCGGGGAGGCCCTTTGTTAGCTCACGTGGACGGGTCTCCTCTAACCCGGTATCAGTTCTCGGCGATGCTGAAGAGAGCATTGGTTGCGAGTGGCATGGATGGTCACGGGTTTTCGGCCCATTCCTTTCGGATCGGGGCGGCTACCCAGGCGAGTGTATTGGGGTACTCGGCTGCGGGAATTCAACGGATTGGAAGATGGGGGTCGGGGCGTTTTAAGTCTTATGTCCGACCTCATATGCTGTAACCCTCTTCTCGTTGTAGGTGGTCGGCCCCGGTACGTGTGGATTATAGGGCATTCCTATGTGTCCTGGGCAGCTAGGCGAGCTGAAGGCCGGGCCTATGGACGGAATTTGGGGCTTTCGTTGGACGTGGCCAGAGTCAGGTGGAAGGGCATTAGGGGCCTCCGGTGGCAGCAAATTTATCCAGAGTTCGTGGCCCTGCGTAAGTTTGTGTCAGGGCCGGTGGTGGCGGTGGTCCACGCGGGCGGTAACGACTTAGGGGTATCCAGGACTGTGGACCTTCTCCACGCGATTCGGCACGACTTGGCGAGGTGCATGGCGCTCTTTCCAGACATGACCTTGGTTTGGTCGGAGGTGGTTTCCAGGCCGTGCTGGCACGCGCTTCCACACTCTCGCGGTTTGGAGAAGAGCCGGCGCAAGCTGAACATCGCAGTGGGGAAATTTGTACGGCGGCTAGGAGGGGTGGTCATCCGACACGTGGAGCTGGAAGGAGAGAACCAGAACTTGATGAGAAAGGATGGGGTCCACTTAAATGAAATAGGGTTAGACATCCTGAACACGGGTTTGCAGGGTGGGATTGAGGCTGCGCTGTCGGCGGGGGGCGCGATGACGGCAGGAGGCGTGAAGGGAAGTCGTCATCGCGGTGGCGGGAGTCCTGGCCAGCGCAGGCAGAAGTGGTGAAGTTGCCGAGGAGGCTTGGGGAGTTGCAGCCTGTTGGGAGCTGATGGCGGAGGCAGGCTGCTCAGGACTCATGGTTTGTGGGGATAGACCTGTCTGTTGGGCAATCACCCCAACAGCTGACAGTATGATTATGTTGCTGGCATGGAAAGAATAAATAAAGCTGTGGCCGATGCCCTTACCCAACTTAATTACGGTCTCTGTGGGTGGGTGGGTGGGTGGGTGGTACAGACATCTAGACAGCAGTCAAGACACCTCCCTGGACTGACAAGGAAGGGGGGACATGACTGCGGCTAGGTTAAGGAGTCTTGAAGGAGTAGTGGAAGGGAGGGGAATAGATGGATACATAGTTGCTAAGATGGAAGACAGTTATAAGCACAGTTAGGGGAGGTGACTTACCATTCAGCTTTTGGAAGTGCAGGGATCCTGACTTTCCCGCCCTCCCGCCCCTAGGACATTTGGTTATACAGGAATGTGGGTTGGTTTTCTGGTGCCTGTTGTTGGTTGTCTTTTTCTTGTTTTTGTCACAGCACGCGGGAGTCCTGGCCAGCGCAGGCATAAGTGGTGAAGTTGCCGAGGAGGCTTGGGGAGTCGCAGCCTGTTGGGAGCTGATGGCGGAGGCAGGCTGCTCAGGACTCATGGTTTGTGGGGATAGACCTGTCTGTTGGGCAATCACCCCAACAGCTGACAGTATGATTATGTTGCTGGCATGGAAAGAATAAATAAAGCTGTGGCCGATGCCCTTACCCAACTTAATTACGGTCTCTGTGTGTCATTGGGGAAAGGGGGGCATCGGGTGGGTGGTACAGACATCTAGACAGCAGTCAAGGTTATGGCATGTATCTAACCCTTTTAGAACTAATGGTTGAATGTTTGCATCACAACAAACTAGCCATTACAGAACCTACATCAAAATGGAACATCCCAGGATTTTCAAAGCAGGAAATGCAAAATATGCAGGAAATGTTGTGTCTTCTTTATTCTAAAATCTTTTTCAGCCTCAAAAAAGGTCAAATGAAAATCCATAAAGCCTGTTAAACATATAAAATACAAAAAGACTAGATCGCAAAAAAACAAAACAAAAGAAAAACATGCCGAGAAAAAAAACAGACAATAAAAAAATAATCCATCTTCCGGTCAGAACACTCTGATTGGTTGACTTAAATTGGTTGGCAAATAATTTTTTTCGTTGGGCTGGTTTTTTCGATGTGTTTTCTTTTTTACAATCAGGTCTTTTTTTATTTTAGTAGTTCATTGGGGTTTGTGGATTTTTATTTGGCCTTTTAGGGTCTGAAAAGAAGTTTTAAAAAAAGAAGAAATCTATTGGTAAGTAAAATAGTTTTCAAGTATTTTAGTTTATTGCTTCCCTTCACTATAAATAGGGTGTCTGTGTGGGGAGGGGGAGGGTAGGTAGGTAGGTTTTTTCTTATTTTATTGGGGGTGGTGACTAGTGGGTTGGGGACCCCTAGTATTACAAGTTAGCAGATACAGCCCCAAATGCAGTAACTGACTGAGAGTGTCCGAAGCGAGGTACAGCGAGGTACAGATAAGGATACAGCAGAAGCAAAGTCAGGCAGCCAATAGGTCAGGCAGCTGGGCAGGTGGCAGATGACATGCCCCACAGGGCCTTCATCTGCCCACAATAAGAAATATAGTTTTAAAAAAGAGTGAAATGGGGGACCCAGGGGAATTTGGGGGTGAGTCAGAGGACAATCAAATAAGTGAACTCAGAAAGGTGAGCTAAAAATGGTATGCAGCCATGACAGAGACGCTTTAATTCTATGTAAGAGCCCCCAGCAGCCAATCCCCTCTGTGCTGCTTGTCCAAGTGGTAATGGGTGGCTGTGATTGGCTTAGCGTGTCAGTTAACCGCATTCAGCCTATCACAGCGCTCACTACAGCTATGAATAGGTATGGCTAAAAGGAAGTTTGTAATCTCTGCCTTAGCCATATCTCCAGTGGGCGCCGGGCTGTGGATGGCTAGGGGCCCTCATTCAGTATTAAACTGCTTGAAATGGATTAATATTAAATGCAAGGGATAACACCAGGGGACTCGGGCATTATAACCATTTCAATTAGATAAAATGGTTACATAAAATAATGTAATGTTGTGATCTGGGCACTTAAATAGCCTTAAAGACACATTTGAATGATTTTATTATGGGTGATGTACTGCTGCGTGATCCTCCAATCACTGCACAGATTTGGCATGAGTGATGTACAGCTGTGACCCTTCTTCCATTGCATGGATTTGGTGTACAAATGGTGTAAAAGATGTTCGTGCACATGTTTGCAGAGCCCTTTTTACTTGGCAGACTTGGTTGGTTCAGTGGCAGCTTAATTCTCAGAAAACCACCCACACATTTTGGATGGACGTGCTGCTTGCAGAACCAATGCTGAAATATATCTCTATTCAGAGAAGGTGTAGTAAAGGTGAATGGAAGAACCAGATCCTGGGTAACGCTAGTTTCTGGGAACATCAGTAGAAAGTCATACAAAGTGCTCTATAAGAGAATGACTGAACCAGAAACGCAGACCTTTCTATCTCACTTCATCTCAGACAGTTGCTGCCTGACTGAGTTATATAACCTGGAATTAGCAGCTTACTCTCTATATGGGTATAGCACACCTCTGCCCTTGCCAGACTCCATGCCATTGTTGAAGTGGAAAGATCAAGGTGTCTAGACACAGCAGAAACTTTAACTATATCCAAATTACTTTGCATAAGTAAATGGCCCTATGCCTAATCTAACATGTCAACTTTACCTACTGACCCTCATACAGCCTCAAGTTAAAAGGGACACTACAAGCACCCACACCATTACAGCATATGATAGGTTGGGAAGGCTGTGCTCCTGTTATACAAATACTTGGAATTTGGGATTTGATGCACAACCAAATTATGTCAGTAGATAAGAAGCTGGAGCTTGGGCTACAAAATGTAGCAAAAAACATTCAGAACTTGAATAATGTTAAAAGTGCAATTGCAAGAATAGCAAAGCTGTAGTGGTTAAGGTGCAAGGAGTGTCCATTCACTATATTGTTACCAAATTCTAGTCTTGTTCACAATCTATCATTTAGTAATTATTCCATTCACTATATTGTTACCAAATTCTAGTCTTGTTCACAATCTATCATTTAGTAATTATTGATATATAAATGGCTAACAATGAGCCATTAAATGGACACTCTAACTCCCACAAAGGATTATTCACTTAATTTTAAATTATTATTGTTATTTTTATAATTCTCTATTTTTGTGTGCACATTGTCATATAATCATTTGTTCAGCCCTATTATCACACAGACACATTTGTTGGGAGATGTTATAGGTGGAATTGTACAGCACTTTTTATAATATTAATATGTTTAGAACAAGGATATACATTATTATGTTATTATTTATATAGCGCCAACAAATTCCTCAGCACTTTACAGTGGGAACAAACATGTAGTTGTAACCAGACAAGTTGGACACACAGGAACAGAGAGATTGAGGGCCTGCTCAGTGAGTTTACATGTTAGAGGGAGTGGGGTATAGTGACACAGTAACAGAGGGATTGAGGGCCCTGCTCAGTGAGTTTACATGTTAGAGGGAGTGGGGTAAAGTGACACAGTAACAGAGGGATTGAGGGCCCTGCTCAATGAGTTTACATGCTAGAGGGAGTGGGGTATAGTGACACAGTAACAGAGGGATTAAGGGCCCTGCTCAGTGAGTTTACATGTTAGAGGGAGTGGGGTTAAGTGACAGTAACAGAGGGATTGAGGGCCCTGCTCAATGAGTTTACATGCTAGAGGGAGTAGGGTAAAATGACACAAAAGGTAAGGATAGTATTAGTTACTATTACTAATGACAGTTGCAAGAGAGGAGTCAGTCGGGAGCCATTAACAGTTTAATTGATACGCTTTCATGAAGAAGTGGGTTTTTAATGATTTTTTGAAGCAGTGGAGACTGGGTGAGCATCTAACAGAGGAGGGAAGTGAGTTCCACAGGAACGGTGCAGCCCTCGATAAGTCTTGAAGGCGAGTGTGACGAAGTGCCCTTCGCCACTTGGTCCTGGAGAGGCCTACTTGCCAGCCTCCTCCCCTGTGACTATGACTCTTTCATCTATCTGGCTTTAAAGCCCCTAGTCTACCTTCAGACAGACTATTTATGTGGGCTGCTTTATTTATCCTATGTTTTAGTCACCCTGTACCCATGATAGGTGCAGGGTGTGTGTAATGTAATTGTTTATGGTGTGTGTGTGTACTGTGAAATGTATTGCCTTCTCTCCTGTACTGCTGAGGTTTGCTACCAACTAGGTGGGTTTGGCTATGGAGCTGGTCTAGTGCCCTCTGTTGGTAGCAACAGCAATATGCACTACCTGAATTGCAAGACTGGTTCATTTGCATATTCGGGTAGATTTGCATATTGCTAATTCTGCAGGCAGGTGAGATATTTACTGTTAAATATTGTCTCCCCCCACCCCTTTAAAAATGTGCCATTGTGTTGTGATAAGTCATATGGTTTGTTTCTTGATATGGTTTGACTGTTTGTGATTTTATTGAGGTTTCACAACAATGTTATTGTGGTGACTGTATTGGCTGGTCCCAAGGGAATAAAGGTTTTGACAGATCTTCTTGACCCTCAATACGTAGCCTTGTCTCGTTATTGGAGGGAACTGCTATATCACACTGGGGATTGCTATGCTCTGCATACTCCCCTGAGCTTTTAATCACTTAGCTCTTTTAAGAGCTGTTCCTGTTACGCTCTCCTGGAGGAGAGGTCTTCCCCACACGGTCCTGGAGGACAGAAGCTGATCCAGGGTGGAAGGAAGACGGCGAGACTCCAGTTAAGCTACGGCGGTTGTGGAGTCTGCGGTGGTTGTGGTGTCGGCTGCAGTGTTTGGAGTCCTCAGGAAGCGCTAGGAGCATCCATCAACGGAGGGTACTCAGTCGGAGTACAAGGAGCTCCGTTACATTGGTGGCAGCGGTGGGATGGCGTCCTAGTGCGAGGAGAAGCAGCTCGGAGACACTGGTATCGTATGAGAGGTTATTGAGGGCAACGCTAGCCACTGTGCAGCCTCCCTAACTACAGCAGCATGGAGCAGGGATGGATAGAGCCCTGCGAAGAGCACCTCAACATGATACGTCGCTACGAGGACGACGCTTACATTGAGGA